ATGTAAGGTCTCATTCCATTAATGTGTCACAATTTAAGATGATGTCTAAGTTAGAACAAGAAAGTCAAGTTTTCATGCGTTCGCCAAAAAAAAAGAGTCAAGTTTTCATGCAAAAGACCAGCTCTTTTGATTCTATTTCATGACGAATCAATCTTTACGAAAACAGAAGTGGTACATCACGTATTTTAATATAAATGATGGAAAATTTTATTTTTTAAGTTATTAATTTTTTAGCACACATGTCCTATCATTTGTTAATGACATGTGGTGTACCATCATGTGTACCAAGCACATTGAAAAATCTCTTCATAAGCATGACCATACTTTTCAAGCTTTAATGGTACATGAAAGTCCATTTGGCGAATATATAATAATAATAATAATAATAATAGCAGCGTATATGATCGGTTTGGAGAAGGAGAGATTCTATTTTTCAACTGATGACACTACATAATAATCTAGCGGATGAACAGTGTATTACTTGAACAGGTCTTTTATGCAAAGGGGTTTCTATTTTTTTTTTAAATAGGGATTAGATGTGAGGTTCACTTCACATCGAACTTTAACGATCCGAACCGTTTATTTTGTAAGTCTCGATTCATTTTTCATCCTTGCAAAAATTCAAATCAATCCGAAATCATTTGCCTATTTAATTATCAAGATAAAATTTCACGGTTTCTTATAAAACAAAGTATTCGTTAATTTCTTTGAACACAATTATATGTCTTAAATATTTCCGATTTAGCTAATATTTTACAAGGATGATATATGGGGTGTAACTTGAAAAATAGACAGTTCGGATTATTATAGTTCGATGTTATGTGGATCCCACAATTAATCCCTATTTTTATAAATAAAATAAAATAAAATAAAATAAAGTGAGGATCCCTTCTCTTAAAGATTTCCTTACTTGAAAACAATATAATCATATATGTAATTGGTAGTGCTATTGTGACAATAATATTAGTTTTAAGTGTTTTTCTTTGATTTGAGAAGACAAATTTATATGACACGTGTGCACATTCAAGATAGCATCTTATAGTCTTACTCTTTTAAGGTTCTCATTTTGAGAACATGTGAGAACCAAATGCATATTAGCCACAATATTATATTAGTTTAGATTCAAAGATATTTGACAGTTTGATAAAAACAATAATAAAAAAAATAAAAAATAAAAGAGATTTGTAATGGTTAATTGTAAGATCCCACATTGCCAAGATGAGTGATTCTTATATTCTCATCCCTACCTAGCACGATGTCTTTTAGGAGCTCACTGGTCTCGAGTTCTATCGAAACTCTGAAGTTAAGCGAGTAGCACGCGAGAGCAATCCCATGATGGGTGACTCACTGGGAAGTTTTCCTTAGCCACTTTAAATTTCATGGTCCATTATATATATTATGTTAATATACTTTGCATTCTGAGTTAAATAATCCAAGAATATTGTCTTTTAACAGTTTTCATAACCCAATAATACTTAGCAAATTTTATATTACCTTCATTGTTAATAGTTAAAAATATTGTCCGTAAATTATTATTTCAATTATTGGAATGGTTGATAGGGATTTTTACCACCTGCAAAAGTAGGAATAAAAACACATAAAAATACTTGCAAGAGTACAAGATTGTCGTAGTATAGCAGCTCAAGCAAGGTCGTTTTCTGTAGGGATTGAATCAATAATTTATATTAAAACCAAATCTTAATTAATTATTTGAAAACAAAGTTTAGAAAAAGGTGATTTAATGACCTAAAATATTAAAAACGAATTTAATTAAAAACAATTAAATAAATTGGGAAAGTAAAGTAAACCAAAGAAAATAGTTTTGAAAATAAATTTAAGCACTAGGGTTTCGCCGTCACCTTAACAACAATCCTACGTAGTTCTTCCAATTACTTATGAATTACACATGCATATTTTGAAGGTTAGGTTTTCCTAAAGTATGCCCTACTTGAAACCTCCAACATAGAACGTATATCTAACATGCAACCCGTCCGTGGCATCCAGATCGAATGTGAACATGCAAGACTAATTAAGTTTTGTGAAATTCTTTGAAAAACCATACAACCCTTAAGGTGTGTCGTCCATCCTAAGTAGTTACACATATTAACCACAAGAAGTCAGTGCCAATTCCAGGGACAACCCTCAGCTAGAATTGCATCAAATTACTTTTCTAAATATCCTAATGGTGACCAATCATCGAGACAATTAGATACTTTAAAGCACATTGATTAATAATTCAAAACTTACATGTATAATATCATAAGTAAATTAAAAAGAAACTACATATTCTTGCTAAGGCTCGTGGCCTCGTCCTAACAAATGAAACTAGTTACGAATAATCATAAAACAAAATATTATTAAGAACATAGATGGAAAACATTCTGAAAATAAACTTGAAAGCTCCAAAATAGTACGTTCTCCTCCTCCTTTAACCCTAATGGCTAAATATCTTATTTATACTAATAAAAAATAAAACCCTAAAAGGTCTTAGAATAAAACTAGGAAACATAATAAAATAATAAAAAGAAAATAAAAGGTTTCATATTTAAACTAAAATTCGGACTTCTCAGAAAATCAGTCTTTTGACGGACCAAATTAACTCCGATTTGGTCTCAAAATGTCTCTTTTTAAATCTGAAGACGTCCCCTAAAAATTATCAGAAGGAATATTCTTCAAAATATGACATCTTGACCTCCAACATACCCAAAATGTCCATAAATGTTAATATGGGAAAGCTGTGCATTGGGCCTTAATTTCATTGCCATGGTCAAACGACTAGGTAGAAAAATCTGGAATTCTGATACAATCATCTTGAAAGACTCATGAACATTCTCCAATTGGGATCACTCCAAAATTCATCTGTTTGGTTACTTTTTGCTCCAGAGGAAGTCGAATGTCTTACATTGAAAATACATAACAAAGTATCAAAATTCTACCAAAATAACCAATAAATTAATACTAAGATTAGGGTAAAGTATATGGTATAATATTGACTATCAAAATACCCCTAAACTTAGCTTTTTGCTTGTCGTCAAGCAAAATAAAACTAGAAAACAAAAATAAAAGCTAACAAACTTAAAAACTTTATTAAAACTCAACTGAGACAAAATTTCACTTTCAAGTTGCAATCCATAGAAGACGTTAAAAATTAGAACATCTTTCCAAAAGTTCCAACGAATCGCACCATAGAGTCTAAGCCATTTATTATCAATTAGAAAAGAATTCATGAACTTCCTTTGGTGTAAAGTAAATCAACATAGTTAAGGAGACTTGACTAAAACTCTTACTTTTCATCCTCTTTATTCCACATGTGCTAACTATATATATATATCAAATATTTTTTTTCTCTTTTTTTTCCTTTTTTTTTTCGAATCTCTTTTTATATTTTTATTTTTCTAGTAACAGTAGTAGTCGTGCAATGTTGGTTCACTTAAACTTTCGATCCAACCCATGTAGCGAGTTTTAGGTCAATGACTCCCAAACCACTAAGGCTTTAGGGCACTAGGTGTAGAACACCCCTAAGGACTTTACTTACTTGAGCTTAAAAAGCTACGAAACCAACTAACCACCCTACTCCATGCCAAAACTCTACCGTTTGACTCAAGAATCACTACTGATTAGGCAGGATTGGCCCGGTTACTAAGCAAAGTCTCAGGTGGAACAATTATTACTTTATTTATAACAAGAACTCACTTTACTTAAAACAAAAATTAAAATTAAACTTAGACTAAAAGTAAGTGTTGCAATTTCACTCCCCACAAACCATGTTGATGTGAATGTGCAAATTTTCAAAGTATAACTCATGAATTAGTGTCTAAGCAACAATAAATAGAAAAGACTCTACTATGGGATTAACTTTCATCATGTCCATTGTGGAGCCAAAAATATTCGCTAGGCGACACGTGGACTTTTGAACGGAAGAGGACAAAAATACCCTTGAGGCATACCGGGATTCCTACGCGCAAGTAGTGGGTAATCATCCTCAACCAATTCAAAAATGCTCCAAAAGAGGTAACCAATTCCAAATTATCTTATTTTAGGTAATTATTTCCAAAACTTAATTTCCCTAATATATTATTTAGTTAATTAATTATCTAAATAATATATTCTTCCCATATCTCCTAAAATCATCCCTTAATTATCAATTTGAAACATCCACTCAAACCTAAAAAATGATATAGGGCCGGCTACCCCATTCAAAGCCTATTCCATCACCTTTTTCTACCTTTTCCACCTTTCCTTCCCTTTTAAATTAGCCAATCAATACCATAAATACTAAAACATTTCCTTTCATATTTAATTAGCCAATTAATTGGCTAATTAAACCTAAAATAAACCCTAAAATCCCACCTAGTAGACCGGCCACATTCCCTCTCTTTGCTCCACACCTTTTCAAATTTCTTCCACTTTATTAGCCAAATAATGCTAGTCATTCAATTGGGTAACTTCCCATTTATTTCTATTATATTTTATTAGCCAATAAAGTGGCTAATAAAACCACAAAATTCATCCCAAAGCACAAAGAAAAGGGCCGGCCATTTCTTGAAGATGTGGACCAATTTGGTCCTATAAATAGTCACCCATTTTTACCAAACACTCATTCCAAATCTCTTGCAAAAATTCCAAAACACTCTAAACACTATTTCTCTCTAAAATTCTAACTTTGGCATCGGAGGTTCTTCGGCCAAAGCCCCCCCCCCTTCATCGTGGGCGCGTGAGGCTTTTGTCCATTTGTTATAACGTTAAAGTAATCTATGGATATTAACTAAAAAAATGAAATTTTTTATTTTTTTAATTCAACTCAAAAATTAAAAATCTAAAAATCTATTTCCCACCCCCAAACTTAATCTCAACTCCTCCCCAGCCCCTGTTCTCAAGGTGTGGAAAAAGAAACACATAAAGAAAGAATAAAGAAAAATGACCGACAAAAACAACTAACTAATCAAAGAAACAAACAGTCGACAAAAGATTAAAAAATATATAAAAAATAAAAAATAACAAGAATAAATAACAAAAACGAAAAGAAAAGGAACAACAACACCTGGGCTGGAAGTAGAAACTTGCTGCTTGATAATTTGATGGCCGAACAAAAAGCCATGAAGAGCCCACGTAAACAAAGAATGCACCAGCCCATTTCATCGAGAACCCAGGTAATACACATGCCTTTGTCTGCCATCGCCATACCGCGAGCCCAGAGCCGAACGCTCCTCCACTCATTTTCTTTCATTGCTCTTCCTTTCATAAAAACCTTGGTTGCTGCAATCAAAACCAAAGCTTCCTCTCTAGAACTCTCAGATCCGAGCCACAACCCCCAAACTTAATCTCAACTCCTCCCCAGCCCCTGTTCTCTCATCTTCGTTGATTCTCAGCAGATTTCCTGTACCATTCCGACGCCACAGAGGTATGCCGCCATCATTTCCCCCATTTCTTCTCAATTTCTTCTTGTGACTTAGAATCAGAGTAAAATCGATACTAATCTCTCTTGCATGTTTGTGTCATGTGGTAGGAATCTCTTTTGGTAAATGAAGAGACCGTGAAAAATGAAGGAATGACGGAAAATCATAGATCCAACGGTCAAAATTGGGAGCGGAGATATCAAAAACCTGCGGATCCGAGATTATAAGGTATATATATGCCCTCTTTTTTTTTTTTTTTTTTTTTTTTTTTACATTCAAGCAGGAATTAGCTTGATCTGTGAATGTGTTATATGCGTATGTTGGTTTAAAATTGCTGAATATAATGAACTGTATGATTTTGGGCCTGTGTATCCGTGTATGAATATGATCTCTGCTTGCTCGTAATTTTCCTTTGTGTTTGTGCATGTTTCCTGATGGTGCATGTTGAGCAAAATTTTGCATGAAATTTGATCTGCGATATGCGGACCCTTTTGCACACTTGGATCCCCGATTGTAGAACCGTGTACTTAGAAAATTGTTGAACGATCCCTAAACTAATTTCATGGGAAAGAGTGTGAAGTAAGTGGATCCAAGTAGTGTAGAAGCTTCCAAGCAAACCCCACGGTACGCATTGCCGAATCTCAACTCATATTTTTCTTCGTATCGGCGCTGCCTAATCCCATGCATGTAGAAGAATGGATGATGAATGTGCTGGGGTGAATAAATGTTGATTGCACACCCGTAGTTGAGATTTAGTTGAGATTAGGCCGAATCAGTTCCGAATGCAACCTGCAAAGATCACACATTAAAAATCTAATTAGAATAAAATACTGATTACCAAAGAAAAATTGCTGTTTTTGTGGTTTTCAGTTTTCTGATTCTTTTTTTAATTTTTAATTTTTGTGATATAGACTAAAAGGAAGAAAATAAAATGGACGAAAATAAAAAGAAAAGAGTTTAGAAAAATTGGATTGTCTCCCACTAAGCGTTTTAGTTAACGTCAATAGCTAGACGGATTGGAATGAGGTTTGTGATCACGTCACTTGTTCTCTTAGAGTTAACCACTTCTTGATAGAATCATACGGCAACAGTAGATATGGAATGAGTTGTTGTTTATCAGTGGTTGAATTCTTTGTACTTGCCCTTCTATGTGAATGAATCTTTGTGATCAAATAGGATCCCCTCAATCGATGCTTGTGTTTCCCTTGAACTAACTTCAATCTTGTATTTAATACCCACAATTTTTGTATAGGTTGAATGTCTTGACGAAAGATTGGGCTGCTGTTAAGCTTTTTCTTCTTCCCGTTGTAGAATGTAGCCTGCTGGATGGACCTGACCTGCCCAGATTTGCTTTAAATTTGATGCCGTGTATGTGCTGTCATGTGAATTTCCAGATTCTGATTTGTTATAAACAACCCCTTGCAACACGTCAGTTATGATGAATTCCGGCAGCCTCGTTTGTTTCTTTGTAGCCTCTTGATGTGGTATGTGTGGCATATAAACTTGGGCAGTAAATGGTTCTGTGGGAATTTCAGGATCAGCATGTGCTTTGTCCTCCATTGGGCACGAGTAACTGGTAGATTGCTCTTCAATTCTGGCGTTTTCCTGCATGTACTCATATCTCGTTGCACATTGGGGTGTCTGAATTACACACCATTCCTTTGAATCTTGTGGCACATTAGGCTGCTCAAAAGGTTGTTGAGTACCTCCCCATCTAAAACCAGGATGCTTTTTCAAATATGGAGCATAGTAATCAAAAGTGGGATCATTCCAACGCCAAAGTGACTTGTTCCTCATATTAATATGCTCCTTCACATAGTCTGGAAAATATTTCCTATCAGGGCATTGCAAAATTCCATGGGTATTTGAACAACAAAGGGCACAAATTGTAGGTTTAAATCCATAGAAGGCCTGTTTTGTGAAAGAAACCCATAAAGGTGGTCCTGGTAGTGGCTCCATCATTGAATTGCTCTCAAAATTAACAAGCCTACAAAAATAAAAATAAAATCAACAAGTAAATAAAAAGATATATACAAAAATAATTAACTAAGAATATGATAAACACAAATTATTTGAAACAATCTCCCGCAACGGTACCAATTTCTTGATAGGGATTTTTAGCACCTGCAAAAGTAGGGATAAAAACATTTAAAAATACTTGTAAGAGTACGAGGTTGTCGTAGTATAGCAGCTCAAGCAATGTCATTTTTCGCAGCGATTGAATGAATAATTTATATTAAAACCAAATCTTAATTAATTATTTGAAAACAAAATTTAGAAAAAGGTGATTTAATGACCTAAAATATTAAAAACGAATTTAATTAAAAACAATTAAATAAATTGGGAAAGTAAAAAAAACCAAATAAAATAGTTTTGAAAATAAATTTTAGCACTAGGGTTTCGCTATCACCTTAACAATCCTATATAGTTCTTCCAATTACTTATGAATTACACATGCATATTTTGAAGGTTAGGTTTTCCTAAAGTATGCCCTACTTGAAACCTCCAACATATAACGTATATCTAACATGCAACCTGTCCGTGGCATCCAGATCGAATGTGAACATGCAAGACTCATTAAGTTTTGTGAAATCCTTTTGAAAAACCATATAACCCTTAAGATGTGTCGTCCATCCTAAGTAGTTACACATATTAATCACAAGAAGCCAGCGCCAATTCCAGGGACAACCCTCCACCAAAATTGCATCAAATTACTTTTCTAAATATCCTAATGGTAGCCAACCATCAAGACAATTAGATAGTTTAAAACACAGTGATTAATAATTCAAAACTTGCATGCATAATATCATAAGTAAATTGAAAAGAAACTACATATTCTTGCTAAGGCTTGTGACCTCGCCCTAGCAAACGAAACTAGTTATGAATAATCATAAAATAAAATATTATTAAGAACATGGATAGAAAACACCTTAAAAATAAACTTGAAAGCTCCAAAATAGTGCGTTCTCCTTCTCCTTTAACCCTAATGGCTAAATATCTTATTGGCTAAATAGCCAAAATGGTCCCTGAGATTTGCATAACTCATCACTTTGGTCCCTGAGATTCCAAATCAATAAAGGTGGTCCCTGAGATTGTCCACCATCCATCATTTTGGTACTTCCGTTAAGTGTCTCAGAGCTCTTGGCCAGAAATTTGGGCAATTTTCAAAGCTTCATAACTCAATCGTTTCTTAACCAAATTCGACCCATAATATATCAAAATGAAGATATGAAAGTGTAGAATAAGATCATATCCATTTGGAAGCCCAATGGTTTCCGGAAATGGCCAGAAAATAGCCTCAAAGTTGACTGATCCGAGGGAAAACTTGAAAACTCGCCGGAAACGAGGTAAACTTTAAACGTTCATAATTTCTTCAATATTCAACAAAATCAAGTGATTGAAAAACAAAAATCATACTTCTCAATGAGACAAAGAGAATGGTACCTTTTTTTACTACTAACTCACCTTGGTTTGGCCTGAAAACGGCTCGAAAGTGGCTGTCTTGGTTTCGAGTTATCCACTTTCGAGCCGTGTTTCGGCTAAACCACGACTATTTAGCAATCAAAAAAGGTACCATTCTTTTCGTATCGTTGAGAAGTATGATTTTCATTTTTGAATCACTTGATTTCGTTGAGTATTGAAGAAGTTATGAATATTTAAAGTTTGCCCAGTTTCCGGCGAGTTTTCCAGTTTTCGCTCAGACCAGTCAACTTTGAGACTATTTTCCGGCCATCTCCAGCAACCTTTGGGCTTTCAAATAGGTATAATCTTATTCTACACTTTACTATCTTCATTTTGATATATTATGGGTCGAATTTGGTTAAGAAACGATTAAGTTACGAAACTTTGAAAATTGCCCAAACTTCAGGCCAAGAGTTTCGGGACATTTAACAGAGTTTTTAATGGAATGACTAAAATGATGGATGGTGGACAATCTCAGGGACCACTTTTATTGATTTAGAATCTCAGGGACCAAAGTGATGAGTTATGCAAATCTCAGGAACCATTTTGGCTATTTATCCTATCTTATTTATACTAATACAAAATAAAACCCTAAAATGTCTTAGAATAAAACTAGGAAACATAATAAAATAATAAAACATAAAATAAAAGGTTTTCTATTTAAACTGAAATTCAGATTTCTCAGAAAATTAGTCTTTTGACAGACCAAATCAACTCCGATTTGGTCCAAAATGTCTCTTTTTTAAAGCTGAAGACGTCCCCTACAAATCATCAGAAGGAATCTTCTTCAAAATATGTCATCTTGACCTCTAAAATACCCCAAATGTCCAGAAATGTCAATCTGGGAAAGCTGCGCGTTAGGCCTTAATTTCATTGTCACGGTCAAACGACTTGGTAGAAAATCTGATATTTTGATACAATCATCTTGAAAGGCTCACGAACATCCTCCAATTGGAATCACTCCAAAATTCATCCGTTTGGTTACTTTTTGCTCCAGAGGAAGTCGAATGTCCTACATTGAAAATACATAACAAATGATCAAAATTCTACCAAAATAACCAATAAATTAATACTAAGATTAAGGTAAAGTATATGGTATAATATTGACTCATCAATGGTATAAGGACTTAAAAATTAAAATGCAGAAATGTATGATGAATGTATAATATTGACTCATCAATGGTATAACGGTGTTTAATTGTTAGAAAAATAAAATTATGACAAATTTTTCTTTTTTAATTTTCCAGTTGTTAAAAAAACACGTAGACGGGTGAAAAAAGAGTAAATGGTAAAAAAAGAAAGGATAAACGGGTTAAAAAATGATAAATGGGTAAACGGGTAATAAACGGTTACGATTAAATGGGTACACAGTTATGGATATGGTTAACCATTTATAAATGGTTATGGGTATGGGTATAACAGTTAGACAATTACCCAACGGGTAAACGGTTATGTGGGTATGAGAATAAACAGTTATGGATAAATAACCGCGGTTACCCGCCTGCCATAACCGTTGTCTATCCCTAATTATGAGGCCAAGCCTACCCCCACCCCTTAGTTTAGATGATATCGTTTGTTAAAAAAAATGCATTTGGTCCTTACATGTCCTTAAAATGAGGATTTTAAGAGAGCAAGACTCTAGCGTCTCATCTCATGTTAATGATACAAGAATATATGAGCTTGTTTAAAAGTACTATTAAAATAACTGAAAGTATTTTTTGTACAAATATTTTTGGAACCAATCCTAAAAAAATGCAAGTGAATCTTGAAAAAACACTTGAAGTGCTTTTGAAACCAAAACATATTTTCTTTAAAAACGTTTTCAACCATTTTGAAAACACTTCCAAACAAATCATATGTTAGCTTCTCTATCATATTTTCACTTGCCGTGACGGTGTAGTCTGCCACACCGAAACCAGATCCCCTCCTGAGCATAGGGTGGGGACCCTCCTGACCGGTCCATCTAGACCATTGAAATTTTATCTAACGGCTACAATCATTATAACTTTAGAGGGGCCCCCTATTTGTAGCCGTTGGATTAAAGCCCCCTATTTGTAGCCGTTGGATTAAAATCCAACGGCCCACGTTAGAGGATCCCGAGGAGTTGCCTCGGAAGGGATCCAATTCTGGGAGGAGGGACTGCTTCCGATCCAGTCAACTTTTGCGGATTATTTGTGTATTTCCTTTTATATATTTACATATATATATATATATATATATATATGTATGTATGTATATATCTAGAAGGAAATCATACCCCCATGGCCAAGCATACATATTGCATGGCTAATTCTCTCTCACTCACTCACTCGACCGGTTTCGGCCTATACAATCCATCTTATGCCGCTGGCGAAGAGCAGTAGTTGAGAGACTAGTTGGTAAGTGTCGCACCCATGCATGGCTTTCCACCCCTTTTATTTACATGGCTATTCACATGCATTTTAAAAGCAACAATATGTTTGATAGCACATTAACAGAAATCAAATATTAAAATCGTCGCTTTTATTGAATATAAAACTTCTCACTGACATGTGAGAAGAATATAAATAGATTGTAGGGTTTAGGCTGCGGTTGTCAATTTGGACACGAATTCTTGGATGTTTTTGTCCGAAGTGCCACCGTCACTCACAGCCTCTATTGCCAACTCCCTCCATTTCTTTGCATTCTTTTTCATTTCAATCCCATCCTCCTCATCTTCCATCACTTTCCTAATGCAACGCTTAAACTCTTCTCTTCCTACCATCCCATTAACATTCTCACCGCGATCGTTTATCTCATCATGATCATGATCATAAACCTTCACTCTAACACCAACCTTCCAAACATCCTCAACTAGCTTGGAATTAGTAGGCTGGTCGGTCCACTGCGGCATTGCAATCATTGGCACTCCCAAGCTTAATGCCTCGATCGTCGAATTCCACCCGCCGTGTGTGAAAAACATCCCACCGCCGCATGCGACAGCACCTCCAACTGAGGGCTCCATTTTACTACTAACCCTTGACCGCTATTACTTGTCTCTTCGACAAACTTGGAGGGAAGCTCTGCCTCCCCCGAAGGCCTAACCACCCACAAGAAGTGGAAGCCGCTTTCCTTCAGCCCAAATGCAAGCTCCTCCATCTGCTTGTCACTTAGATTGGCCATGCTACCAAAGGCCACGTATACAACCGAGCCTGCGGGCTTGGTGTTGAGCCAGTCTGTGCAGGTCGAGTCGGACTTGAAAAGATGGACCCCGTAATCCTTGTCGTCTTTGATGCTATTGTCCAAGTAAGAAGATGGAATTGTTGGCCCTATTGTCAACAAATTTGGACAATCTTTTGACATGGAATCCACCGCCTGTCCTAGCATAATTATTTCATATTACATATTAGTTACTTTGACAAATCAATTATATATTGATCTACCACCAAAAAAAAAACTTAGTAACAATAATGATTTTGAATAATGATATTTAGGCATACAAAAGGGTCACACTCCTGACAAATTTATGTCACGACATATCATGTGGGTAAATAGAATTACTAGTTGGTAAATAGAATTACTAGTTAATCAACGATCATCTGATATTTATATTTCATTTATAGTTTCACGTGTATTAAAAATTAGAAACTTGTTTGATAACTGTTTTCAATTTAAAATAAATAAATAAAACTAGTTTTATATACGACTTTTCAATATTTTGGCTTATCTTGGTTTTCACTTAGAAACAATTACCAAACAAGTGAAAACTAAAAATTAAAAATATTATAGAGCGAGACGTACCTCTTGCTCTAACTTGTAGAAAGTATTTGCAAAAATGAAATCAGCTTTGTGGGTGTTAGAAAATTGGTTCAACACCATCTCAAAGTAAGCTGGAAACGAGCCCGGGACAGAAATGAAGGACGGGAAATCTCGAGGCTCAAGCACGTCATGCAACCCCGGAACAGAAGAAATCGTCAGTTTCCCATGATGCTGGAGATAGTAAGTGTAATTAACCGTGCATGTTTGAGTAAAAAGGCACAGGCAAGCATACCAAATTGTTTGGCTACTTCCAAAGCCCAAGGTAAAAAGGGATCGTAAACAATGCAATCTATAGGTTGGGGTGAGTTTTGGTGCTTTTTAATGAGCTCGGCTAGGGTTTTGGATCCCACGGCTTCCATCCGGGATAGATAGTCGGCGACGCTCCCAGCTTGAGCAAAGCCGCCTTCGTCGTAGCCATCGGAGATGGTGTCGAAGTAGACGGAGCCCGATGATGTGCTCTGCAACGAGTTGGCGATGAAGACGGTGTTGGCTAGAGTCACTTTGATGCCCTTGCCCTTAGAGGAAACGCGCTTGCAGAATTGGAGCAACGGGTTTATGTGACCTTGAGCAGGATAAGGAACTGCCAACAGGTGAGCTCTATAACCTTTATCACCTTCCATTTGATCTCTCTCTCTCTCTCTCTCTCTCTCTCTCTCTCTTAATTTGGACGACCCAAGCAATGTTTAAATGGTAAGCATATATATACAATCTATAGAACACCAAATAGTCAATTATTCAAATATCTAGTGAATCAAGTATTGGAGGGTAGAGTTTCACGTCAAAGATGTACGAATTTTATTATGTAGGAGATTAAAAATGTAAAATATTGTTTATACTAAAAATAAATATTTAGTGATAAAATTCAACACTTTTACTTATTTTTTGCGTTTTAACCCTATTCCATGCAATAGGATGACCGTTAGGTTTTATTCATTGAAACCCTTTCCCAACAGCAATAGGATGACCGGTAGGTTTTATTCATTGAAACCCTTTCCCAACATTCTTATTTTATCCCAATCCCACGTAATAGGACGACTTTAGGTTTTATTCATTGAAATCCTTTCCCAACATCTTTATTCGTTTTTAGCATTTTATCTATGCAAACGGATCAGTGACACCATTAATTTTTTTATAATTTTTTATACTTGTTTTTGTGGAGCCAAATCCGTAATGTATTTCAACGATTTGAACAGTCTATCTTTTAGGTATTTTCTTCAAGATCATGTCTACTAAAATCACGCAAATTTGAAACTATGCTTTGGATTAAAGGTTTAGGATTATTTGTAGAGCCGTATTTTTTCATTTTCTTTACTACAAATGAATGCCTTAATGATTTTAATAGACGGTTCAGATTACTGAAATGTATTACTAAAACCGTACAAAATGTGTATCGAAAGTTATGTAAAGAAATAATAATAATGACATGGATGACAATGACAATGCGGACACGTCCGTAGGTGAATAAGATCGATGATATCGAGCCGAGTCTTAAGTACAAGCTACTAACTAGATTGGGTGCTATTTAAGGCCATTGGTCCAACCTTTCAAATTCAAGCAATCACCATTCTTCATTAGCCCTATTCAATAATTAGAAAATGCCAAGGACATGTGGTCCGTCCATAACGTGGACTTTGAAAAACGCCTCTTGAATATGTAACTAAATCTCAAACTTTCTAGCTTGTAACCCATTAAGTGGGAGTTTGTTATGATAAACTTGTTTATAGTCATTGTCCCGTTTTAATTTAATAATATAATATTACGTATGAATTTATTTCCGAGTGATATTTTATTTTTTATTGAAACGATATGTAATGATAAAGTACAGTACAAATACATACATCTAAATTCAATTAACACTTTGTTTGGTTTCAACTTTCAATCGATAGACACAACTCACTAAATAACAATATATGAAAGTCCATTTGGCCAATATATATATATAATAGTGTATATGATCAGGTTTGAAGGAGGATAGATTATATTTTTCAACTGATGACACTACATAACAATCATCTAGTGGATGAACAGTGTATTACTTTAAAACAAGATAATCATATCTGTATTGGGGAGTGCGTTCATGAGTGCATAACAATCATCTAGTGGATGAACACTGTATTACTTTAAAACAAGATAATCATATATGTAATTGGTAGTGCTTGCGATAATTTATTAGTTTTAAGTGTTTTTCTTTGATTTGAGAAGACAAATTTACATAACACGAGTACACAGTCACTATAGTTACTTACAGTCCTGCTTTCTTAAGGTTCTCATCTTGAGAACATATGAGAATCAAAGGCATATTAGGCAAAATATTATATTAATTTAGATTTAAAGACTTAAAATATTTGATAAATAAAATAAAAGAGATTTGTAATGGTTCATGGAAGTTGATTTTGCTTTATTAAATTGTCAAATATTTTAAGCCTTTTAATCGAAAGTTTGAAACTAATTTATTCCAGTGGCTGCCAATTAGTATTACGGTCTAGTGATATTATTCTTCACTTGTAAATGGGAGATCTTAGGTTCGATTCTCTCTAAAGGTAAATTTGAACTATATTATTGTTAGCTCATTGTGAGGCCAAGTCTACCCCCACCCCTTAGTGCATATGATATCGTTTGTTAAAAAAAATGCATTTGGTCCTTACATATCCTTAAAAAATAAGGATTTTAAGAGAGCAAAACTCTAGCGTCTCATCTCATGTTAATGATACAAGAATATATGGGTTCGTTTGGAAGTGTTATTAAAATGACTGAAAACACTTTTAGTGAAAATATTTTTGGAATCAATTCTAATAAAAATGCAAGTGAATATTGGAAAAACACTTGAAATGATTTTGAAACCAAAAAATATTTTCTTTAAAAACGTTTTCAATCATTTTGAAAGCACTTCCACACGAGTTATATGTTAGCTTCTCTATCATATGTTAGCTTCTCTATCACATGTTCACTTGCCGTGACAATGTAGTCTACCATACCCATACCCACCCCCATCTTTTTCCATTCCCATGCGGCATTCTGTCTTGAATTCGGATCCTCGCCGAATCCTCTTTGTGAAAATTTCGGGAATCCATGAATCGGATTCGTTTATCGTACATCGTGTAATCAGAAATTATTTTAAGTATTTTTATTTAAAATTAAATACAAACAATACCTCATAAAAACTGATCGTACGATATACGATAAATGAACACGATTCATGAACTTCTAATCCTGTCAGTTCTACCTTACCCCTTTCCGACTAGTTGATCGCCGTTATTCCTCCCCCTTCCTCCCCCTCTCTCCGTAGGTCGTAGCCGTCCAAACATTTGTTCTCTCCCTACCCATCCACGTGGCACTCTTTACATTTCAATTTGTCTATGAATAAAATAACACTTGTTTTATTGTTTAAAAAAATAATAGCATAATTTGTTGTGTTATCATATTTTATTTCATAACTTGTTTTATTTCATATTGTTTAAAAAAAAAATAAACATGTCATAATTTTTTTTAATTTAAAAAAACATGTAACATTTTTTTATTAAATCAAGCTAAAAAATGATAGCATAAAGTGCTCGGTAATAAATATCAATGTATTGTCAAATTAGCTCTTTTCACTAAAAATTTCTCCTTTTTATTTTGGGTAAATACAATTTCCAATTTTGTTTCCATTTTCTTTCTACCGCAACAATTTCCATTTTCTTTCTATTTTTTATCTTTTTAATACTTGACAATAACCCTACTTATGTGTATAATTAGTGGTTACGAACTCCCCGATATTTGGCAATTGGGCAAGGATTGTGGGGATTCATAAAATTTCTAACGAACAATTTTGGCATTTCTAGATTTTAGAAAGAGTGTTTATATAATATGCACATGCATAACCAACTTTGTTCAAAATATAACATCTCACTAGATAATACTTACCGCTAGATATTTAAAATCAAAATACAAAACATCATACAATTTAACTTTACATACAACGTGATATTGTATGAGTATTTAGAAATATCTCGTAACGACTTCTGATTACCCCCTAAATTCTTATCCTTACGACGGCAACAACTAGCATTGACGTTACTATCCACTTGTGCTAAGCTTCAGTCCTATCGATTACTATGAAGTTGACTCCTAATGAGTTGGTCGCTGATGCGAATCTCATTACCAAAATTAGCACCCTTCATGAAGGAAAAATATCCAACCAATAAATTGGTTTCTATTTTTAGTAAAATTTTTAAATGCTTAAATATATTATAAAAAATTTCAAATTCTCTTCAATTCATTACTTTTAAGATTTAAAAAAAATTAATTTCTAATTAAATACAACTAAAATGTTATAAATTTGTTTAAAATTATAACTGAATACAACTGAATTTCTAAGAATTTTAATAAATTATCTTACAATTCTGATTGAGTATACTTAAATTTCAAAGAATAACTTAAAATCTCAATAAATTTATTAAATGAAAAAAATAAATATTAAAAAAAAAAGGAAAAAGTGAGCAATAAATAACAGACGAGTATGGTTTATGCAGCAACTTCCCTCGTATTTTAGGAGAAGAAAGACACACGTCCGTCGCTGTCACCGACTCATTTCTTCTTCCTCTGCAATCCCGTGCGCTTCATCTCTTTCCGCTTTCCAACACTGTACGCATTCATCGAATTCGAGCCCTCTTATTTCTCACATCCTCCAGTCATCCAATCGCTCTTCTTCCTTTCAGGTGATTTCTTAATTTCCCAGTTTTCTCTAGGTTTTTATTGATTTTTTTTGGGTAGATTTTGGAGATAATTTTATTATGACTCTTACAGTTTCGTTTAATTCATTAATTTTTTTTTATTATTTTGTTGGTTTCAGCTTCGTTTGGCATTTGAGTGTGTATCTAGCATGAGTGACAGGATTGTGGAGAAGATCGGCGCAAATCTAGAATTTTTCTGAGAAGATTTGCTTTTTTTTATCTAAGGTATGATTCAGATTTTCTTGAATTTTCTCGATAGCCAAACAGGGCATTAGGACTAATACAATCCAGTTAATTAGCTGGCAAAGTTTGTTCATTCAATCCATTTTTCCTGTGAATTTTTATAGTACTAAGCATATGAACTAGCTCTATTATTTACAGTAAAAGAATAAAAATTTGTCCTTTACTTTTAGCCTATCAACTAGCTTTTTTTTTTTTTTTTAATATATAAAAAATGTGAATGTTGTAAACTGTGTTGAAAGAAGATTGGATTAGGTTTAGTCGATGGAGAGAGAGAGAGGATCCTCGCCGGATCCTCTTTGTGAGGATTCCGGGGATCTTATAATCATATATGTTCATCGTGTAGTTAATTTTTATCAAGTACTGTTTATATTCAATTTTAAATAAAAAATTTACAATGATTTTTTACAGTACAATGTACGATAAACGGATGTAATTGGAGAAACCTTGGGATCCTCCTGGTAGTTGGTGCATTTGGGATCTAGGGGTGGGTTAAAAAATGAAAAAAACCCGAACCGAAGTCGAAAAATCCTAACCAAACAAAAAACCGAACCGGATGAAATAGTAATTTTGGTTCTGTTTTCGGCAAAAAACCGAACCGAACCCACTGGGATCAGCCTTTCGGCCCTTTTCTCAGTCTCTTGTGTCTTATTTTAATAATTAAATCAGCGTTGCACGAGCAAGTTTAGACATTTGTCTCAGATGTGTTATTTTAATTTTTGCTTACCGAGTACGATTACTTTTTAATTAGTGTTGTTATCATACTTGGGATTAAGAAATATATCCACGGTACGGCTGAAGTTAAAAACTTTTACATTTGTGTCTAGATTCGTTGATGCCTTGTTTCCTGTAAACTGGAGCATGTAAGGAATAACCAAAGTGTTTTCAACCATCTTCTTGTTAATTTTAGCAGTCGTTCTGGTTTGGGGAACATATCTTTCCTGCATCGCCGGTTTTGAGATTGGCACAAAAGAAATTTCTAATGTTCCTCCATTTCACAAGTAATTTTAGCAGTCAATACGGCTTCTGCAATTTATTCTTTTCCTATATGAGGCATCAAAGTCTTTTCTTTCTTTCGTTTGCAGTTGTTGACATTACTTGTTTAGTGGATTTTCATGTTAGGATCCAACCATGAGATACCATTCAAGCCATACCTATAAGTAGATCATTTTTTTCCGAAATATCTTTTGTTACGTAAGTATTGTAGGAGATATATTCCATGCGCTGTTTCATCTTAGTGTAATTACAATTTGTGTTAGAACATTGAAAACTATTTAGAGCGTGTCTTAAGCTCGTTTTAATTTTTTTTTTTGTGCAGATCTTCTATCATACCTTTTTTCTTATAGTTATTTTAGATAAACCACAATAGCCGATGGCTTCACCTACTCTTGACTCACCCTGGCCGTCCTCAACTAGCGAAACCTTTTCTGGATCTTTCAATATAAGTATAGAGGAAGAGAACCCAGACGACATTTTACCTGTTCTGGAAGACCCAACCTCTTCTATGTCCTGTAGCCATAATATCCCAAAACCACCTCCTGTCCCTAGTAAAGCATATACACAAAATAAACACTTCAAAAGGCTTTCACAGCGTTGCTATGTCCCAGATGAAACACTGGATACATGGGACAAGCTTTTTAAAGAAGCATATGGTGCTGATGTCTATATTTGCACAGAGGACGGATCGTGTATTCCAGTCCATTCTAGTGTTCTGGTAAGTTATCTGAATTGACCCCACAATTTTATTCCTTTGGAAATCCTGAATGAAATTTCTAGGTCAGGATGTGGCTAGAAAGTTTCTTTTTGTGTTGAATGTGCAGACTGTTGCGTCACCGGTGCTCGGTAAATTTCTGCAGCAATCCAAAGCTAAACATGGTATGAGATACATTAAGATTCCTGGGGTACCGTATGAAGCAGTCTACACATTCATTCGTTTTCTTTACTCATCCTGGTATGTTGGAGCTATGTTGTTCAGTTAGATTCCCTTCCCTTTTTAATTCTTAATTTCTTATTCTAGCCAAATTTCGTGAAACATTTTCTCGTGTCTCCTATGCAGCTATGAAAAGGAAGAGATGAAGAAATTTGTTCTCCATCTGTTGGTTTTGTCACACTCCTACTCAGTTCCATCATTGAAAAGAGTTTGCATATGTATTCTTGAGCAGGGATGGATTACGAAAGAAAATGTTGTCGATGTGCTTCAATTGGCGAGGAACTGTGATGCACCGCGGCTATCCTTAATTTGTGTACGCATGATTGTGAAGGACTTTAAAGCCATATCATCAACCGAAGGCTGGAAAGTGATGAAGCGAGTTTATCCTGCACTTGAACAAGAGCTGCTAGAGTTCGTTGTTGAAGCAGATTCTGTAAGCTAGTTTTTCTTCCTTTTTCAAATATCTTATCTTACCTCTGTATTTGTCGGGGGGAGAAACAAAAAATACATGTATGTTAGGTTTCGAGATGATATCTCATTTAATTTTTAGATCTTGGATTCAATTTTTTGTGCCAGAGGAAAGAAGAGAGGTTGAAGAAAAAGGAAGAGAAAAAAGTGTACTTGCAACTGTACGAGGCAATGGAAGCCCTCCTTCACATATGCAGGGATGGATGTAGGACTATAGGTCCCCGTGACAAGGTGTTTAAAGGAAGCCAAGTGGCCTGTGGCTTTCCTGCTTGCAAGGGGCTTGAGACCTTAGTTCGTCATTTCTCCAGCTGTAAAACCCGGGTTCCTGGTGGATGTGGTCACTGCAAACGCATGTGGCAGCTTCTTGAACTGCATTCTCGTATTTGCAACGACCCTGAATCATGCAAGGTCCCTTTGTGTAGGTACGCATTAGAATTCCACTTGCACTTCTTTCTTTGCCCTACGTTTTCAGGGTAAGAAACTGAAATTTGAGTTTATGTTTGGTCTGCATTTGGTCAGTACTTAACCCTTTGAAAGGTTTTTGAAATTTTTTACTGAAATGGTTCTATGGCACCATCATATCCCCACTTTACACCGTCCCAGTCACGACCTCTGATCAATATTGTTACTGCCGGAGTTGTATTTTACTTTGTCATGTTAGGGAATGACGCAACTCGGGTTTGATGATTGGAGTCGTCATCGTCATGACTACACTTCTTGTGGTTTCAGGCATTTGAAGGAAAAAATGCAGCAGCAGACCAAGAAAGACGAGGCTAAATGGACGCTGTTGGTGAGTAAAGTGGTAGCAGCAAAGGATACCCTGGGACCTATCTCAGGTCGGCGCTCACGTTTTTCATGACCTCTTGTGTTTCAAAAGCAAAATGTATCAAACATGACCCCCATCCTCATTCACTAAAGCAATGTATCAAGAATGTAAACCAAGAGAAATGTACCAAGAATCTTCTCCCTTTTGGGGTCGAATAAATGTAATAAACATCCGACGCTGTTAGTCAATAGCTCTCACTGCAGTTCTTGTAAGCCAAGATATTTCAATTGGATGATGACCATGTCATTTTGATACAGAAAGTCTTACAACTTTATGCGTAGAAAAAATCGACCTCAAGCATAAACTAGCAAAGAAACTCTGTGAAGCAACGCCGTAATCTTCGTTGAAGGAGACTTATAGAATCATCCCTGGAAGCCAGACTTAAATCAGAATATTAAGAATTCACATCAAAATAACAGTTACCAAAACAGATACTGTAAAAAATGTATCGAGTCGAGTAGTTCTGTTTCCTTCTCATGAATGATCCCATGTAAGCTTACATTACAATATAACTGCATAAAGCATGGCAGCAGATGATCTACATGGCTTCATAACATCACAATTAAGCCCCGTCGGCTACATTTCTCTTTGTCGTACTAATGTATAGAACTGCATTAATGCAAATATACAAAAATCCAATTATTTTCTCGCGGAGGCAACACTAAAGAGAAAAACAAAGAGATAATGCTTCGATAATTACCATTATTTCCACGAATAAAAGCATCGCCATACTTATTTTTCAACTGTCCATTGACATATTCTTCGGTCTGTTCCATTGCTATATTCATATACCCGTCCAGACACGCAAGGATACCTGCACAAGAAATTTAAGACATCAAAACAACTGATCCCTTCAGCTTGAATCCTACTACATAAAATAACCTTGCAAACTTTGTCGATAATATGTTGATCCCAGATAATACAACAAAACAAGAGTGAAAAGGCGAGAAAAGAAAAATCAATAGACATGAAAAAAGAAATAAAGAAACAGACCTCGATAGTCAACACCAGAATTCAGTTTTACAACAACCGGTCGCCCACGAATTGACTTGAGGAAATCTGCTGGAGTTTTTGTGGTTCCTGTCCCTTTCTCTCCACCTCCACTCATTTTTTCTATCCTAAATCTTAACTGCTCGCACCTCCTGAAATGATATCAAATCATAACCAACCAAATTCAAACACTAAAGAAGACAAGAAACCTCCATCATGATGAATTACTAGTACATATCCGAAAGAACTGCAAAAGCGGAGCTGCTGAGACGAACAGACACATCAAGCAATCATCGCATTGCAAAAAACAGTAAATACGTTCTTCACCGAACCGGGTGACTCTTACACAAGACCATCCAAACAAAGAATTTTAGCTTGTTGGTATCAGATGATTAACTCTAACGCTAACACAGACACTATCTATGACCTAACGTGAGATGCGTAACGAGCATCAAGTCTACAGGTCTACATAAGCCTCCAAATTATTTTCTGGAAGAATTACTCGATTCCACACCTCAAAGGGTGCTAAAAGAATAATCCTTTTGATTATAAAGTATACGCCTTTGAAACAAGCCATGTAAATTAAGTACCCAAGCAAAGGATAACCATTTTTTTTTTTTCAATAAAAAATAAAAGAAGATCAAAAGAGCCAGACCCAACCCAAGGAATCAACAAACTCTCCGCAAAAAAAGTCCTTTAACACATTTATGCTGCTACAGAGTTTATCCAATTTTGCATTTTCATCGTCACAAGCATCTCAAAATTAACCTTTATCCAGGCAATAGCTCAATTTCAAGAACCCTAAAATGGGCAAGTTCAGAAAATCCCTTAAATCTGTAAACTGAAAAATCATAAGGAGTAGTTGACATAACAGCTGAGACAAAAAGAAGAGGAAACAAAAATGGTGTGAAATAACACGGATCAAAGCACTCACCTTTGTTGGTGCTGCTGCCGCTGCCGGTGCTTCAACTTTTGAGAGAGCGCGAGAGAGGGAGATTAACTTTAACCGGCAAGCCCTCACTGCAACAGAGCTTTATATATGAGGGTGGCAATTTTGGACCTTGGGGTGTATTTTGTAAGCCCACCTCCAACCTCCGTGATTGGGCCTTATTGTTGCATCCACCAAGTTTTTTTTTTTTTTTTTTTTTTTTCGTTATTTTTGCCTGGGTCAAAACCGCAGTTGCAGACGTGGACATAATCACGTTAATTAGCATTATTCACCATAAAAAATAAATAAATAAAACATGCATTGAATATATGTTTCTTTGCAAGAAATTTATAATTCAAGTAGTAAACGCATGCATTGAAGCTTTGTATTTCAATTCTTCGTCCTTTTAACTATTTCTTGTGTGTTAGATTAATTGACTATCGCAGTATTTCTACCTGCTGCGTATGCATCAGAAGCCAAATTCTACTTTTCGTAAATTATAAAAAAATTAGAGTCTGTGTTGTCGTTTGTATGTACTTTTAAAATTATTAAAAGCGTTTTTTATGAAAATGTTTTTGGAACCAATCCTTAGTAAAAATGCAAGTAAATTATAGAAAAACACTTGAAGTGCTTCCTTCAAGAAGCACATAACTGGTGCTTCTTGCAAAAAGCACTTTACGTGCTTTTGAAACCCAAAAATATTTTTCCTAAAAATTCTTTCAATCATTTTAAAACACATCCAAATACGCTCAAATAACCAAAAATGCTTTTAAACAAATTAAAGTATTTCTGAAGCCGCCAAGGCCAACACGTCCATTTCGCGCGGCGATCGTACTAGTTACCAGAAATTAGCATCCTGCAGCTACAAAAGTGGAACGGATCCTTCCTTCCTCCCTATTCCAGTACGCACAGAATGTGACTGACGTTCTCTCTCTCTCTCTCTCTCTCTCTCTCTCCACACATAGAACCACCATGACACCACTCAGAAAACCACTTCCCCACCTCCTCTTCACCCCCAATTCCAAATCTTCATCCTTCCAATCACTCGCCTCCTACTTCACTCTCACTCCAAATCCAAACCCAACAATTTCCTCACCATACCCACCTGAATCACCCACTACCCACATACCAAATCCCATACAGCACCCCAAACCCACCTTCAAAATCCCACCTTTCGGTCCTATTCCGCCGCCATTCACTCAAACCAGGCCCTTCTCAGCCGCAAATTCAGACCCTTCTCAGCCAATGCCGGTTGTTTCCACCGACACTTCATCCTACGACAGTTCGCAGCCCATCGATGCCGGCTCTTCCATTCGAAAACCGATCAGTTTGTGGCCTGGAATGTACAGCTCGCCTGTCACAAATGCCCTGTGGGAAGCGAGATCGGAAATGTATGGGGATGCACTGAGTGACGCGCCTCCGCAGAGTGAATTGGTGGCAAGGACTCCAGCGCAGAGTAGGACCAGTATTCTGTACAAGTTTTCGTCTGATTATAAACTGAGAGAGCAGTACAGGAACCCCTGGAATGGGATTAGGATGGGGAAATTGCTTGAGGATCTCGATGCTCTTGCTGGAACCATTGCATTCAAGGTACCAATTTAAGTCAATTATTTAAAAGATTTGTTCAATTCTTGCTGCAATGGAGTATGTTTTTGTTTGATTTCTTTCGGGTTTGGAATTCGGATTGGTAGCTAAAACAAACAGTTGATAACTCGGTTTTTGTTCTTGAATAAATTGAAGCATTAATTCGGATTGGTAGGGAAAACAAACAGTTGATAACTCGGTTTTTGTTCTTGAATAAATTGAAGCATTAGTCCCAGAACTATTACCCAAATTTCAATTCGATCCTCGAACTGCATTATTAGATTTTGCAATTGAGAGTAAGTATTTGTTTGTTTTTTGCAGGTTTGGAATTTGGATTGTTAAGAAAAGCTGGTTAAATGGTTCCTTTAGTAAATTGAAGCATTAGTCCATGAACTATATCTTTACCCAAGTTTCGGTTTAATCCTCTAACTAAATTGTTAGATTTGTAAATGCCTGAACTTTTCGAAATGTGTAGCATTGGTTTGTGAGGCTAGCACGAATAAGCCTTCTCTGTAACGAGTTATATTTTTAGTTCGATTTGTAAATGAGTGTTGCCACTTCTTTAAAAATGATCCTGGTGTTTTTCTTAACTTGACCAGCACTGCTGCTATGAAGATGGCACGAGAAGGCCTCTGCTATTGGTGACTGCTTCTGTTGACAAGATGGTTATGAAAAAACCTATCCTTGTCGACACGGATTTGAATATAGGCGGTGCTGTCGTATGCGTTGGGAAGTCATCCATGGAGATTCAGCTGGAAGTGACTCAATCTTTGCAGGGTACTGAAGTTTACATAACCAAATATTGTAGTTTCTTGTTGCTAAAATATATCAGATTTATTTATCATGTGCTGACTATCGAAACTTGACTTGCAGGATCCTCTTACACATCAGAGTCTGCTGCTCTTGTTGCAAACTTCACATTTGTAGCCCGTGATTCTAAGTCTGGAAAATCAGCTCCGGTTAACCAGATATCGCCTGAGACAGAGAGAGAAAAATTGCTCTGGGAAGAAGCAGATAAGAGGAATAAAATGAGGAAAAAGAAGAGAGCTGAACGTAAAACAGATACAGAAAACCAGGACACAGACAGACTCAACGCCCTGTTAGCCGAAGGTCGAGTTTTCTGTGACATGCCAGCACTGGCAGACCGAGACAGCATTCTAATAAGGGATACTTGCCTCCAGAACTCCTTTATTTGCCAGCCACAGCAGAGGAACATCCATGGTCGGATCTTTGGAGGATTTTTGATGCGAAGAGCATTTGAAATTGCCTTCTCAACAACATATGCATTTGCTGGTGTAGCACCACACTTCCTGGAAGTTGATCATGTTGATTTTGTTAGACCTGTAAGTAACTGAGCCTATTACCTATCAATATCTTATAATCCAACTGGAATGGTACCATGAGCATTGTTTTAATTCTCTGTCTGTCTAGAGACATATCATGCTGAATAAGTATCATTTTAGGATAGCACAGGATATAAATAAACACATTAGTTTATGATTGAAAACTATCGCACTTATTGATTGTACTATGAGCAAACATGAGCTCTTGCTATTGGTTTCTTTGTTTTTCCCCTATCTGATTCGGGGAATATGTCACTCAGTTCCCTTCTACTAATAGGAGTCCAATATGGTTGTGTATATACCGAATTGTAACGCAAGAATGGAATGACATATTGTCTTCGGTTAATTATTAGTAAATGCCGCATCCAAAGTTAATCTGCAGTCTTGTTATTCTCTTTGTATGTGATCATGGCTTGGATAACCTTTTAATCTGATATTGAGTTGTGTTCTTCCCTTGTTAAACTTCATGTGGTTAGATTGCAACTTGTCAACTTGCCAAAAATCCCAAGCATGGCATGCAGGCTGCACCATCGGTCTAGGGATGACATTCCCGCACATCATAACGTGTTGCCTCGGAATATATGATGTGTCGGGTTTGGGACATTCCCGCCCATGGTGGCGGCGACGGTGGCGGTCCCCCTCCGCCGCCGCCGCCACCATGGGTGCGTTTTTCAAAATTTTTTTTTTTTTTTTTTTAAATTTTTTCAAATGTTTTGAAATGTTTTGAAATGTTTTCAAACAAAACAAAAATGTTTTCGTTTTCAAAATTAAAAGGGGGACAAAAGAATGATTTAGAAAATAGTATCTGGGAATACAAACTGAACTGATACACTGATACACCAAATAATGGTCTGGTTTTGGGGGATTAATGATATTTACTTTGCTGATGCAGGTCGATGTAGGAAACTTTCTCCGGTTGAAGTCTTGTGTTCTCTATACAGAACTTGAGAACCCAGCTGAACCTCTAATAAATGTGGAAGTCGTTGCTCATGTTACACAGCCTGAGCTTAGGTCCAGTGAGGTGAGTACCTGAGTTAGCAACAACATTCTGAAGGCAGCTTTTCCACCAAGCCTTTCAAATGAATCTATTCATCGCCATTTTCTCTCATCTCTGTAAAAAAATTTCTCCAGGCAGATATCGTATCTCAAATTGTACGAAAGATGAAATGCTGTCCGTAGGAATTACAAAAGGAAAATCCTTTCCCTGCTTTACTAAGGCTTCGATCTGGGAACATGTAGATACTTAAATTTCGTTTTATGTCTGCTATATGTTTGAGCAGGTATCAAACAAATTCTACTTCACATTCTCTGTCCCTCCTGAAGCCATGAAGGATGGGATCCGGATTCGGAATGTAGTTCCTGCTACGGAAGAGAAGCATGGCGGGTGATTGAACGAATGGATGCTGAGAGCTCCCAGTTTGCTGCATTGTGAACTTGGCAAAGGAGGGAAGGCAAGCATCAGTGGAAATCCTTCGGTCAAGTGAAGCCATTTTTGTGTAAATTTGAGCAGAGCATCAATAATCTTTGCACATTTTGTATTTAACTATAATATTTCAAAAATCAAATGCAATAGATGAGAGAATTGGGAATAAATAAAAAATAAAAAATAAATCTGCAGTTGGTGAACCACAAGCTGTAAATATAACTAAATAAATTTACACATCAGACCAAAATATTGTGCTGCTACAATTTATTACATCTTCTGATCTAATTTCCTCTATAAATATTACACAAGATGAACAATTCCAAAATCTTGTGTATTATATATATAAAGTACAAGGAAGGGTGCTTAACCTAAGACGGTAATCAATCCATCAAAAGCTCCAGCCAGCGTAAAATCAAGCACTATGTCGAAGCGCGGTTTCATCATCCGAGGAACCATAATGCTGCTTTGCACCGAGCTCTGGAAAAAACGGTGGAAGGGTTGCATTCGGAACCCTGGGGAATTGACGGGCTGACCCAACTATAGTTCTTTCATTAACTTTTCCGACCACCTTGCACGCCTGATCTAGAATAGAAAGAAAATCTCTCACCACCGTGAAAATTCGGAAGGGATGAGCTTCTTCCCTTACCGAGTTCCCATGGAAATATTCTGTTAAGTCCTTTACCATAGAGAATGCAACTTTCTCTTGAGCTTGAATCCTTACAATTTCTTCCCCTGCCTTGTTCAAGAACCCGCTCATGGACTCGAAGAACTTTTTGCTACTCTCCTTCGATGCACTGCCT